TGTAAACAGAGACTCACATGCACACACAGACATATACACAGATACATGCATACATAGAGATGTGCACAGAGACATACAGATACACACAGACAGATGTATAGACAGATACAGGCACACAGAAACATGCACACAACACAGACATATACATATGCTCAGTCACACACAGAGACACAGACATATACTGAGATGCACGTGAAGAGTCTCACACTCAGACACACAGATCTATAAACACAGACACACACATGCACAGACACGTACGGAGATGCAGAGAGATGTGCACAAACATACAGATACGCATGTTTACAAAGACAGCTGACATACATAAGCACAGTCAATAGACATATACACACAGGGTCACACACATGCACACACAGAGACACAGAAATGACACACAGACTCACACATAGACACACAGATTTATACATAGATTTAAAGACATACACAGAGACATACTCATGCACTCACACAGACACAAAAGACATAGACACACTGAGAAATCTAGAGATACATAGACACACAGACATATAGGTAGACACACAAATATATATACACACAGGCAAACCACCGCACACACAGATACAGGCATATACCAAGACACATACATAATCACAGGGAGATACAGACACACACTCACACAGACATATACACAGACACAAAGACACAGAAAAATACATAGATACAATGACACAGAGACACAGGCTTCTACACAGATACACACAACACACACACAAGCACACAGACATATACATAAACACACAGAATCGGCATACAGACTCACACACACACATACAGAGACACAGATTATGCATAGAACATAGACACACATTGACAGACCGATATAGACACAGATAGATATACACAGACATACTCAGACACATAGATGCACATGCATGCACACATATACATACAGATAATCACAGACATATACAGGCACACACACAGAAACAATCACAGACACAGAGATACAGACATATATTTAGAGATATATACATAGACATACGCATGAAAACACATTCATATACACAGACACACAAACATGCAGATTGCAAACATAGACATAAACACAGGCACAGACACACATATAAAGAAACAGATGTTTACAATGTATAGAAGCACACGACATGCAGATAGACATACATACATAGATATATATATACACACACACAAATGCACAAAAACATAGACAAATGCACACACTGACACATGTACACACACGTACAGATATAGACACAGAGATGCAGAGACATATACACCCATACATACACAACAGAGAAATGCACACATGCACACACAAGAGATACACAAACACACATGCGCACACAAATATACACATATTTACGTAAGCACATAGACATATACTCACTGAAATGTACACACACTGACATGCACAGACACACATGCATACACACAGATACATATAAACATACACACAAGGAGACACAGACATATGTACACACAGACACAGTGACGTATAGATATATACAGAGAAGCACACATGCACAGTTTTCATGCACACACAAAGATATACACAAAGACAGTCAGGCACACTCAGAGACATATACACAGCACAGACAGAGACACAGACATACACTAAGAAACACAGAGATACAGATATATACAGAGACTGGTACCCAATGCACACACAATATGCTAACACAAACATACACAGATACACACGTGCACATAGATTCACAGCAGAGAGAAAGACACATGTTTGGAAGAAACATACAGACATGTACACAGGCACACTCTGACAGAGATATATACAAAGACACACAAACATGCATACACGGACAGAAAGATATGCGTGTATACACATAACAGACACACAGACACACAAATGCACACGCAGACACACATATACATACACCCGTATACACAGATGCACAGTTCAGGATACACACACTTACCCAGACATATACAGACACAGACACACATCTAAACACAGAGACACACAGACATAGACATATACAAAGAAACACACATATACACAGACACATACATGATCATAGACAGACACACAGACACACACCTGCACACCTGGACAAAAATAGACATGCACAAACACACAGCCAATTCCACACATGCAGACTTATACACAGACACATGCACACTCTCGAACACACACATATGCACAGACACACAGAGAAATATTCACATAGAATACACAGTGTACACACAAACATATACACAGGCACACAGAGAAATGTCGACACAGGGGACACAGTGTACACACAAACATATACACAGAAACAAAGACACACATGCATGCACACAAGCACACAAAAACTCGTACATATGCACAGATGCACAGACATAATCACAGACATTAAGACAAACATAGCATAAAGATAGACACACAGGCACATACAGACCTGTATCCCAACACACTGTTACATGCACACACAGATGCGCACACTGGCATATTCACAGACACAGATTGCTACACACAGGTATATACACAGACATACACATATGCAAACACATAGACCTAGACACACACGCACAAAGATACAAACACATGCACACAGTCACAGGAAAAAATATATACACACAGATCCACCTGCACACAGAGATATATCGACACAGATGTATACACAAAAACCCACACACGCAGAAACATGAACATAAATGCCCACAAAGACAGACACATACCGACACACAATCATATATATATATACAGGCACATGCACATGTATACACACAGAGACCTAGACACACACATGAACACAGATGCAGGCATACCCAAATAGCACACTTACAAACATAGAAACAGACTGAGTCTCACTTGCACACACACAGACACACAAACATATGTATACACAGACACACAGGCACACATATGTACCTACATAGACATAAAGACATATACTCAGATGAACACAGATACACATACACACACAGAGACATTTACACATATACAGAGACGTACACACATACATAAATACAGACACCCACAGGCAGACACAGACAGAGATACATACACCAGAATGAAAATACAGACACAGACATACACAAACATACAGACACTCATCCACATGCAAAAACAGACACATGCACAAACACAGATATACAGATGCACACACAGACACACATGGACATATATACAAATGCAAATACAGACAGACATACGCACAGACTCAAACACTGTTCACATGCAGGCACACAGACACACGTGTGCACAGACACATGCACACATATATAACAGACATAGACAAACACCCACAAGCAAGTACACAGACACATATAGACATACACAAAAATATACACAGACACATATACAAAGACATGGAGATACAAACGGACATATATAGAGACACAGAGACATATGGACATACTTACATACACAGATCTACAAACACACATACACACATAAATGTACAGACACACATACACATAGATACACTTGCATGTGCATACGTACACAGACATAAATATATACACGGACACACACGAGTCAGCACACATGCACACACAGACACACACAGATTTATTGACACACACAGGAATACACACATGCACATAGAAACAGAATCACATATACAGAGACACACAGATAAATGCAAACACACACATAAACACACACAGAGACATAGACACAGACACAGACCTTTAACAGATATATACACAGACGTACACACACATAGACAAACATATCTATACACATAGAAACACAGAGATATAGACATACACAGACACAGTGCTCAAGCAGACCCACACAGAAAAATAAAGAGAGAAACACACACAGATATATGCATAGACACACAGACACATGCACTCACAGAGACATCACAAACTTATACAGACACAGATACACATACGTGCACATACACGGATACTCAGACATGAACACACACACAAAGACACACAGAGGCATGTCACAGACACATTCACAGAGATACATACAGACATGACCCCCCACTCCTACATACAACACACAAATACAAAGATGTACACACAGAAGCACAAACACACGTGTGCGTGCACCGACAGATATACACAAACACCTTCATGCACAAGAGGCACACACACAAACATATACACAGACACATGAGATACATGCACAAACACCCACACGAACTCACAGATACACAACTGTAAGCACAGAAACACACATTTACAAATAGACATACACACAGACGAATGGACATATAAATAGATACACAGTTGCACACATGTGCTGCACGCAGGTACACACAAACACACAGGCACACAGACATGCACAAACCCACAGACATACACAGACGCACTGCAAACAGACACAAAGAGATATCTACACAGACAGATATAAACACAGAAACATATGGACATATACATAGACAGTCATGCACATGTGGCGCAATAGTCATAAACGTATACACAAACACAGATACACACAGACATATGCACATACATGCAGACATATACACAAATATTGTAAAGACACAGACATAAGTACATATACAGACACCAGATATATAGAGTCTGACACACACAGACAGACACAGAGACATACACACAGACAAAACACATATACACAGAGATACGTATGAACACACAGACATAAACACAGAGACTCACACAGGCACACACACACGTACACACAGACACACAAACACAAACATACACAAACACGTACTGAGGTGTATACACATGCACACATAGACATACAAACAAGAGAGACTAGTCGGAATTTAGGCTCCATTTTAAAAGTCTTCCACATTGGTTTTAAAGAATAATTTACACATTTTTACATGATTATTATTCTTTCAAGTTTTTTGGCTCCTGAGGTGGTGCTCAGGGCTTAACTCTTGGCTCTGCTCAGAAGACACTCCTGGTAAGAAGGGGGCCTGGGGAGTGTCGGGGATTCAACCTGGATCCGTTGCATGTAGGACAGACAGACGCCTTCCCCTCTCTCCTGCGGCTCCGGCCCTGGTTCCAATCTGTACACTTGACTGCGTCTTCTAAGCTGCTCTGTAAGCTGTGTGCTGAGTATCCCTTCCTTGCGGTGGGGTCTGTGCACCAGAGTCTCTGTGCATTCTCCCGCGACTACAGGCTCACTGGTTCTGGAGTGTTTAGAAAAGAGGCAGCCGTTCCCTTGTCACGGGAGCCCCGGTCCTTTGGGTCCCCTGAAGGAATCTTTCTTCTCCTGCCTTGACTCAGAAGGTAGGTAGAAACGTCTCTTTTTCCTCAAGAGATGGTTGTGTTTTCTTTTAGTGGGAGGGTGGGAGGGTGGGAGGGAGTGGTTCTGGGTCACACATGCATACAGAGAAACACAAACACACAGACATGTACACACAGAGACATAGAGAGACACAGAGACACACAGAGATATAGACACGCACACATAGGCAGAATCAAATAGACACAGACATACATGCAAACATGAACACAAAACACGAACATGCACATACACAACACGGACATACACAAAAGAGAGACACAGACATATAGACACGCACATGCACATAAATATACTCACATTTGCACAAGCATCTGAAGACATAGGTACAAACAGGCATATACAGACACCCATATGAGCACACACTCTTGTGCATATACACGTGTGTACAGACATACAAAGAGACAACACAGATATATAGGCAGACGCACACAGACATGTACACAGACACACAAATACATACACAGAGACATATAGACGTATACACACTGACACACAGAGATACACACAGATATATGCACAGACACAAATCACACATAAATGGAGACGCACAACAACATGCACAGACACACATACACACAAATACCAACACACACGCACACACTGACACACAAATACATATACAGAGACACATAGACGTATACACACTGACGCACAGAAATACGCACAGATATATGCACAGACACAAATCACATACACATACATGGAGACATATAAAGACATGCAGAGACATACATACACACAGAAATACACACCGACACACATGCACACACCGAGAGACACACAGACACATGTGCACACACAGAGATACACAGACGTGGAGAGACGCATATAGACATACACATATACTAAACACATGAACACAGGCAAACATACACTCAGACATGCACATATAATACACATAGACATATACACAGATACATACACATACACAGAAACACACAGACATATACCCAGAACACACAGACACAGCAAACATACAAAGACACATACATATGTATACACACAGACACACAGAGACATACACAGTCACCCAAATGCACACACAGACACTAAAGGATATATACACAAACACTTGTACATACAGACATGGACTGTATTCACAGATACAGACAACAGGCACAAACCCCTATGCACACAGACAGACATGGACGACATATACACATGTGCACACAGAAATAGACACAGATATATATATATATATATACACACACAGACATGCTCAGACATGTACATAGAGACACGAAGATACACAAACAGACATTTACACAAATGCAGACAGATACATACACAGATATAAACTCTGATCTACCTATGCACACAAAGACATACAGATGTACAGACAGGCTCAGACATGCACATATAGACACACATATACACACAAATATACACAGAGATAGATACACAAACATACACAGGACACATCTAGTGCAACACAAAGACACAAACAGGCGTATACACATGCACACGGACATAAAGACATATATACACACAGACATATTCACACACTGACATACACAGACACACAACACAAACATATACACAGATACAAAGAGACACATAATATATACATAACACGCACAGACACAATCACACATAGACACATATAAATGTATACACAGACATACAACATACGCTAAGACATGAATAGACATAAGGTAGACATAATTGGTAGACATGAGGTAGACACAGACATAGTCACATACAGACACGCTGACACACAGAGACACAGACATCCTCAGACACACCTGGAACACGCGTGCACACAAAGAGACATAGACATGCACACACAGACACGTACATACACCTACACCGACATAAATACAGAATCTCAGACACTCAGACACACACATCAACACACATGCTTCTAGAGATTCAAAGTTACAAATACACAAGTGCACACAGACACACACACAGATTCATACTCTTATGTACACAGACACACAAACAGGTAGTATACACAGAAACACATTGCACACACACATCCAGAGACACAGGCTTTCTCGTACAATACATGAGCACAGAGAGACAATACAGACATATATAGAAACACACACAGTGCACACACACATGTTCACCCAGACATACATGGACATAAACAGACACACACAGACATATAGACAAATACACACAGTCACACACAGTATACACACAACACAGATACACATGCACACAAATACACACAGACATATACTGGAACAAACATAGACACATTCACAGAGACACACAGACATACACAGGCACAAACATATACACCTTCACAGTCACACACAGACACACCCACACACGCACAGACACAACAAAGATGTCTACATAAACTCATACACATGCGCATATACAGAGAGACATAGACACAGACACAGAGAAACAGATATATAACACAGACATATGTGCACACTGACGTACAGAGACACAAACATACACAGACACACAGGAGCAGAGACACATGAACCCATAGACATATAGATAGACACACCGAGACACATGATGCACATACAGACTTACACAGAGAAACACACGCATATATGCACACACACAGCTGTACAGTCCCACACCCAATGAGACACGTATTCACAGACATACACTCATGCACAGACATACAGACACCCACACAGACATATACACAGATGCATATGTGAAGAGAGACACAGATACATACAGAAACTCATAGACACTGTATGCACACAATAATGCTGACATACAACAAATGCACATGCACACAAAAGAGACACACATACAGAGATACACGCAGACACACAAATAGACGTAGAAACAGATACATAGACACATACATGCACACAGAGACACAGAAATATACACAGATATACACACTTGTATACACAGAGACTCACACAGACATATGGATATATAAGCAGATACACGCACACACAGACACACAGAGGCATATGCACAAGTACATCATAGACACACTGATAAAATACATGTTCAGCGGCACACACATGTGAACACAGACATGTACACACAGAATATATACAAATGCATGCACACAGAGAGACACACATAAATACAGAGACACAAAAACACGCACACACAATTACACCAACACACACAGACATACATACACACAGACACAAATATGTGCACACAGACATAGGCAAACTCAGACTTATAACAGACACACATTCACACCCAACACAGACATATACACAGACTCACACCCATGTACACACAAACACACATATAGATACAGATACACATGTGCCCAGTCATGAAACACAGACATCAATAGCACACTCAGACACACACAGATGCACATCCACACATGCACAGACACACACATGTGCACACACACAGCACTGCACTGTCCTCCCATTGTTCATCGATTTGCTTGAGCGGGCATCAGTAACGCCTCCATTGTGAGACCTGTCATTACTGTCTTTGGCATATCGAATATGTCACGGGCAGCTTGCCAGGCTTTGCCGTGCAGGTGAGATACTCTCAGTAGCTTGCCACGCTCTCCAAGAGGGGCAAAGGAATCGAACCTGGGTCGGCTGCGTGCAAGGCAAACGCCCTACCCGCTCTGTTATACACTGAGATATACACAAACACATACAGACACTTATGCAAACAGTCATATACAGAGACACACAGATATATACATAGAAACACAGACACTATCAACTAGACACATACACCATGCACGCCTTATACACGGATGCACACAAACACAGACACACAAAACAAATGCATAAACAAATGTAAACACAGAAACACACATTTACAAATTTAGACACACATACAAGAGATAAATACACAGACTCAGACACACATGCACACATACAGAGACATTCCGATATACACACAGACACACATAGTGTAAACACAAGACACAAATATATGCACAAACATATACACAGACACACATACATTTATACACAGAGAAACAAACATACACAGCACACCTACATGCACACACAGACACATTAGCATAGACATCAGACATATATACACACGGACTCTGACACACACAAATATACACACAGACATATACACTGACACACAGACAGAGCTAACCATAGAAACCATAGAAACATAGGCACACACACACTGACATTTACACAGACACACACATACAAAGACCTACAGACGTACACAAAGGAACACAGACACAGATATTTATATGGACACACAGACACATGCAGATACACACAGATATTTATGCACAGATATACATTCATTCAGTGACACAGACTGCCCACATAGACAGTACACCCATATGCACAGACATATAGTTAGACACACACAAAATAAGACATAGTCACAGACACACACACAGAGACACACACATATATAAACAGAGACGCATAGCCATGCAGATATATACATAGACACATAGACATGATCCAGACACACAGAGATATACACAGACGCATATACAGGTGCACACAGAGAGACACAGACATATACAAAGAGGCATCCACAAGGACACAAGATACAAACATACAGACATGCACATATATACACAGATATACACACAGATATATACAAAGACACAACGCATGAGCACATAAACATACACAGACATGTACACACACACAAAGACATACACACAGACACAAGCACACAAAAGACATATATGGGCATATGCTCAGACACACATTCACACAGACATAAATACACAGATATATACCCACAGATACACACATGCACATATACACAACACAGACACAGGCATATACACACAAGTGGACACACATGCACACAGAAGATAAAACATACAGAAACGCAGTATGTACACAGACACAAAGATGTATACTCACAAACATACGACATAGACACACAACACATATATGCATAAAGACAAATATATATAGACACAAACACATGCACACACAGATATACACAGAGACACATAAATACATCTGCACACACAGAACACAGACACATACACTGGATACTCACATATGGTCAGACACACATGCACACACAGAATCACACATATTCACAATCAGATATATAAAGG